ATACCTTATTGTCCCTCATGAGATCGTTATATGGCCCTCGTTCTGCAATTCGTCCTTCTTTCAAATACAGTACATTGTCACACTGACCAAGATACTAAAATGGAAATGAACAAGGATATTGTTATTTTGACGTTTTTATCACGTGATCAGTGTAAACARAGTGAAGCATACTTGTAATTGATGAGTAGCAAACAGAACTGTCTTCCCCCAAAGCGCTCCTTTAATCAAGTGTTTAAAGATGTGTTGTCCTACATGAGCATCTACAGCACTCAGYGGATCATCAAGAAGATATAAATCCTAAATAGAAACACAGAATTACATATCATTCAATTACTCATCTACTAATCGGCAACGTTTAATCACTTGTTCGAACCTTATCGGCGTATAGTGCTCTAGCTAAGCTTATCCGCTGTTTTTGTCCACCGCTAAGGTTGATTCCACGTTCACCAATCTTTAAAAAAAAAATACAAATGCAATTTATTTGGCCTAATGGTCTGGAATTGGTTGTACACCTTACTTCGGTTTGGTCACCATTTGGTAAGATCTCAAAGTCTGTGGYGAGACTGCAGGCAAAGCAGACTGATTTGTATCTACAAAGATAGTATATTCGTTAATAAAACCTGCTTTTCAATCCATTCATCTGTCCATTCTCTCATTTTCTTTATCCATTTAATATGCATTTTATTTCGAATACTTGCATACCGTGCTTCATTGAATGGCAAACCCAATAGAATGTTTTCACGGGCTGTTGCATTCATAATCCAGGCCTAAAAATAACCAATATCACAATTACTTCATGACTGCTAGAGAATATAATTCATTATTTCTACTTTCAAGAATGTTGTCACTTATACAAATATAACAATTGTTAAGATGGAAGATTTTTGCAATTTGGTACTTGGGTGAGGAATTGATAAAATACGGCACTTAAGCATTAATGTTTCTCTTTCTAGAATTCTTTCTCATATGGAMCTTTTCTGGAATAGCACTATAGGAATTGCATTGTGGTCTAGATGCAGTACAAACATCTTTTATCTATGCAGCCAAATATGGTATTGTTTGTACTTGAAGAAAGACCACAATGCAACATGATTTTGTATTTCAGAAAACGTCTGAATCTTCACCTGTTGAGCGACGTAAGCAATAGAACCTCCTATAGCAACTCGACCACGAGTTTTACGCATCTGAAAGATATATAGTCGACRTGAAGACTTTTGAAATCTATTTCATTTCAACGCTAAAACATGATCAAATGGAAACAAWAGGAACAGGAACAAAGACTTCAAAGCCAATTTATAGTCATCACRTCAAACAAACCTGGGCTAGAATGCACTGAAGAAGAGAGCTTTTACCACTGCCAACACTGCCACAAATTCCTATTAATTTTCCCTGATWAAAACAAGAGTAGTARTGGTAAARACAATGAGAAAAGTGCAGGGGTTCTCTTGCGCTTTTAGATAYTGTACCTTTTTAACTTTAAGATCGATGTCATATAAAGTGGGGACTAAGACAGTCTTCATCTTCATGGGTGGACCTGGTCGACCTCCGCCAGGTCGACCGCCACCTGGTCGACCCMCTGCAGGCCGACCACCTCCAGAATTAGGTGGTTTTTGTTTGGCTTTGCCATTTGCAGCAGAAGAATCTTAAGTCATCAAAATGGATAGATGAGGTACAAAACAAATGTTTCTTAAAATTATAAGTACAATAGACTT